TGGCCCCTCTCTCTCCCTTCTTTCTGTGGGAGCCTGGCCCCTCTCTCTCCCTTCTTTCTGTGGGAGCCTGGCCCCTCTCTCTCCCTTCTTTCTGTCTCCCCATCATTATTCCTGCTCCCACTTCTCCTTCTGCCTTTTTTCTTTGCTCTTTCTTCTTCCTCTTGGTCTTTTTAAATTTTTTCTCTTCTCTTTTCTCCTTATTTCCACGTATCTTTTATTCCTTCTCCTTCTGCTAAACTTTTATTTCCCTTCTCTGCTCCCTTTCAGTCCTCTTCGTCTCCCCTCAGCGTCTCTCTCTTTTCCTTCCTCCCTGTCCTGTTTTCTGTCCTTCCTTTTTTCCTTATCCTTATCCCGCCCCCTCCTTCCCCCCCCAATTCAGTGTGCCCCCTTCCTCTCTGTGCTCCATGCCCTGGGGGCCCTGTCCCCCTCACAGTTGGGGGGCAGGCTCTGCCCCCTGCCTGTCCTTGTGCCGCTGCTTTGGGGACTCTTCGTGGTGTGGGGAGGTAGGTGGGGTTCTGTCTGGGTCCACCTCTGACCCTGTGCCCCTCTCTCCTCAGAAGGTGGAAGAGGTGGGTGCCTGGGCCCTGGGTGGGGGGAGGGCTAGCCCCTCCCCCGTCTCCCCCAGCCCCTCCCCTCTCCCCATGGGCCACCTCTCCCCTCCTCCCTGTGAGGGGTGGGTGGGGACGTCACCCTCCCAGTGGAAGAGCTAAGTATTAAACTCCCCTTTCCCCTTCATTCTGCCCCCACTCAAGGAAGGGAGGGGGTCAGGTCTGTGCCCCATACAGGGTTCCCCTCTCATCTCTTAGTTTACCTCCTAACCCCCATCACCCCCCAAACCCACCACTCCTCTGATTTCTCTCTTCTCTCTTTTGTTGCATGTTTGATCTCTGTCCTGGTCTCCCCCATCTCTGTCCCTACCCTGTCTCCCTGTCGCTGTCCCTTGCCTGGTCTCCCCATTTCTGTCCCTGTCCTGGTCTCCCTGTCTCTGTCCCTGCCCTGGTCTCCCTGCCCTGTCTCCCTATCTCTGTCCCTGTCCTGGTCTCCCCGTCTGTGTCCCTGTCCTGGTCTTCCCGTCTCTGTCCCTGCCCTGTCTCCTTGTCTCTGTCCCTGTCCTGGTCTCCCCATCTCTGTCCCTGTCCTGGTCTCCCCGTCTCTGTCCCTGTCCTGGTCTCCCCGTCTCTGTCCCTGTCCTGGTCTCCCCATCTCTGTCCCTGTCCTGGTCTCCCTGTCTCTGTCCCTGTCCTGGTTTCCCCGTCTCTGTCCCTGCCCTGTCTCCCCGTCTCTGTCCCTGTCCTGGTCTCCCCGTCTCTGTCCCTGTCCTGTCTCTCTGTCTCTCTGTCTCTGTCCCTGTCCTGTCTCTGTCCCTGTCCTGGTCTCCCTGTCTCTGTCCCTGGCCTGTCTCCCTGTTTCTGTCCCTTGCCTGGTCTCCCTGTCTCTGTCCTTGCCCTGTCTCCCCGTCTCTGTCCCTGTCCTGGTCTCCCCTGACTGTCCCTGTCCTGGCCTTGCCTTGTCTCTGCCTGACTGTCCTTGGTCTGGGGGTCCAGGCTGTCGGGGCGTCTGGGACGCTCAGAGAGCCTTCGGGTGAGTGACCGCCGCCGGCCTTCCCGGGGCCACCTCGGGGCTAAGGGCCGGGGTGGGGGCCGCTCCCGGAGCGACGTGGACATGGACCCCAGCTCTGCCACGGCTGTGCTTGGCCCTGCCCGACGAGCCACGTACGTCATTCCCTCCCTCACCCACTGAGGCAGCCTAGAGAGTCAGGAGGATGAGGTGGGGGCAGGGGGTTGGAGCCAGAGCTACAGAGAAGTGGGATTGGACGCTGAGGTCACTGAGGGCCAACCCCAGTCACAGACTTTGCAAGAGGAGAGTGGGTGGTGGGCCATCAGATCTGGGACATCGAATGCTGAGGCCAAGGAATAGAAGGCTCCTCCCTGAACACCCCGAGCTGGGGGCCTAATGAGGCCTCTGTCCTACAGCCCCGAGCCTGGAGACGAGGGGGAGTCGGGGCGGTCAGGCCTGGAGCTGGAACCCGAAGAGCCCCCCGGCTGGCGGGAGCTGGTCCCCCCGGGTACCCTGCAGAGCCTGCCCAAGAGTCAAGTGAAGAGGCAGGAGGTCATCAGTGGTGAGTGAGCCCCAGCCTGCCCCGTTCTCCTGCTGGGGCCAAGGCAGGGATGCCGGCAAAGGCAGCCCATCTCCACATTACTGTATGGAAACCCTGAACTCGGTGTGTTTCCAACAGAGGGCAGTGTGTAACAGCCCTTGGTGTGGGGTATCTTGGGGCCTTCCAAGTGACCTTTCCTGACAGTTTAGTGGTATAGGACCCTGCTAGGAAAAGGAATGGTCTGTAAAATTGTGTTTACTCTGGAACTGCCTTACTTGTGATGCGTGGGTCATAATGGATCCTAACTCACAAAATTGTCCTGAAGATAGAAGGATTCATGTGGAGTGTTGGACACAGAGTGGAAGCATTTTAATGGAATCTGTAAGGAGTTCTGGTGGCACTGTGCATTAGGTATTGAGCTGCTAACTGCAAGATCGGTGGTTCAAATCTACCAGCCACTCCTTGAGAGAAAGGGTGCCTGCCCCAGTAAAAATAGACAGTCTTGGAACCCGAAGTAGAAGGAGCCCTTCTCCTCTGCCCTTTAGGGTTGCTCTGAGTTGGAATCAGCTTGCTGGCATTTTTTTGCGATTACTATGATCTTATTTAGGGGAACAGAGTCCTGGTGTGGTGCTGTGGGTTAATGCGCCAGACTGCAAAACTGTTTGAACTGCAAGGTCGGCTGTTCAAGCTCACCAGCCGCTCCTCGGAAACCCTAATCAGGGTTGCTATGGGTTGGAACCAACTCAATGGCACTTAACAACAACATTTAGGGAACAAAAGATTCCCATAGGAAGACGTTTGGGACTATACATGGCAGTATTTACAGTGCTTGTTACGCTCTTGGTACAATAGCATGCTGTTTCCATCTGAATTCTTCTCTTTGTAATTCTTGGGACGGGAAGAAGTGGCAGAAACAGAAAACTTTCTTGGAAGCTGATTTACAGATTAATTAGTAGTAAGAAAGGTACTCATTCCGTTTTTAGGGAAGGAGGTGAGTCCTTTTTGGGTGGTAGGTCCTTCCAAGAAGGTGATAGAATGTAACCAGTTACTGGTATTGTCCAAGAAAACTTTCTACAACGATGGAAATGTGCTTTGTGTTTGCTGTCCAGCGCAGTAGCCACTGGCCGCGTATTGCTGTTACGCACTTGAAATGCAGTGAGTTCCACAAGAGCTAAATGTTCTATTTCATTTCATTTTAATTAACGTAAATCTGAAGAGCCCCATATGGCTAGTGGCTACCACATGCACGGCACTGAAGTTGCTCTTCTCGGGAAAATACAAGACAGAAAATAGTACATTGTGCCTCAGGAGATCTGAGGTTATCAGTCTATGGGTAGAAGAAACCTTTGTGCCCAAAACCAAGGCTCAGAAAGTTCCCGAAGGTTAGACACCAAGCACAGCTGCAAAGAGAAGTTCCCACTGGAACCCCTAAGTGACAGGCAGCCTGGGACCGTGGGTCACTCAGCTGGCTGCCATGAGAGAAGGAGACAGGCAGTGGATGGAGGAATTCTGAGTGTCTATGTAAAGGATATGGAGCCTTAGTGGCACAGTGACCATGCCAGTCAAGTGACTGCTAACCTAAAGGTCGGCAGTTTGAACCCACCAGCTGCTCTGTAGGAGATAAATGTGGCAGTCTGCTTCTATAAAGCCCGACAGCCTTAGAAACCCAGTGGGGCAGTTCTACTCGGTCCTGTAATTAACCCCGTGATGGCAGTGGGTTACGTGAGGGACAGATGACTACTTCCCACTCCCCCAACTTCCAGCACTGGCTCCCCGTCCCCCTCCTCAGTCCCCCAACATGTTTCTGAGACTGCCTACCTAGTCTGTGCTCTGCAGACCCCCAACACTGCCCCCTGCTGCTGGCCCACAGAGCTGCTGGTGACCGAGGCTGCGCACGTACGCATGCTCCGTGTGCTGCATGACCTCTTCTACCAGCCCATGGCAGACGGCGGCTTCTTCCCACATGAGGAGCTGCAGAACATCTTCCCCAGCCTGGATGAGCTCATCGAGGTGCACTGTGAGTGGAGGCCCACCCCAGTCCCCAGTGTTGACAGAGGAGGGGGCGGGGACGGATACACCCCCAGCTCGCTCCTGACTGACCCACACCTTTCCTCATCAACCCCATAGCTCTCTTCCTTGATAGCCTGATGAAGCGGAGGCAAGACAGTGGCTACCTCATTGAGGAGATTGGAGATGTGCTGCTGGCCCGCGTAAGAGTTCCCTCCACTCACCCACCCCTGAGATCTGCCTTCCAGCCCACCCCTGCCACCCCCTGCCATGGAGTCGATTCCGACTCATCGGGCAGAATGGAACTGCTCTGGAGAGTCTCCGACACTCCATCTTTACAGGGACAGACAGCCTCAACTTATTTCCTCAAAGCAGCTAATGGGTTTGAGCAGTCGACCTTGGGATTAGCAGCCCAGCACTTAACCCACAGCACCACCAGGGCACCTACCTCCCAGGCAGGGATCTGGAATCCAGCCCTCAACTCCCCCTCCCACAGAGGCCAAGTCTCGCCTTCCTGTCCCTTCTCTAGGCCCAGCCCTGCCTCCCACTTGGGCCTTTTCCCCACATGAGTCCCTACTCTTCCCAGTCCCACCTGAGACACCCTCCCTGGCCTGAATCTCGCTGTAGTTTGAAGGCGCTGAGGGCTCCTGGTTCCAGAAAATCTCCTCCCGCTTCTGCAGCCGCCAGTCTTTTGCCTTAGAGCAGCTCAAAGCCAAGCAGCGCAAGGAGCCTCGATTCTGTGCCTTCGTGCAGGTGAGGCAAGCTGAGGGCAGATTCCTGGGGCTGCTGGAAGAGGAAACTGAGGACCTAGAGTCCTGTGAAGAGAAGGCTGAGGGACCGATGGGGAAGCAGGTTGGGGGCCCAGTCTTGGGAGAAAGCACCAGCATCCAGGTTCCCCCAAAGCATCAGCTGCCTCAGTGCTGCTGATCTCCTCAGGATGCAGAGAGCCGTCCAAGGTGCCGCCGCTTACAGCTAAAGGACATGATCCCCACAGAGATGCAGCGGCTGACCAAGTACCCCCTGCTCCTCCAGAGCATCGGCCAGAACACAGGTACAGCGGGCAGGCCTCAGCTCTCCTCCCTCTCACCTGGCCAACTATCCAGGGGCCTCCGGGGCTCGGATACACTGGCTGGTCTCTCCCTTGTCCACAGAAGAGCCTGGGGAACGGGAAAAAGTGGAGCGGGCGGCCGAGTGCTGCCGGCAAATTCTACACCATGTCAATCAGTCTGTACGGGACATGGAGGACCTGCTGGTGAGCAGCACTAATGGTCACTATTGGGGCTTGTCCCCCTTGGGTCACTGAGTGTCTGGATGTGGGCCTTGGCTTTCAACTTGTTTACCTTGAGGTCACTGAGAGTCCAGGGGTTCAGCTTGGCTCCGTCTTGGGTTCACTGGGGGTTGGCCCCAGCCTTTGGCATGTCCCCCCAACACCCCTGTCCCTGCCATAGAGGCTCAAGGACTATCAGCGGCGCCTGGACTTGTCACACCTTCGGCAGAGCAGTGACCCCATGCTGAGCGAGTTCAAGGTGGGCCCAGATCACCAGCTCCGCCTTCACCCTCTCTGGCCCTGCTGCTCTGGGGGGCTTCTCTGTGGGGTACCATTCCTGACTGCAGCCCCTGACCTCACGGCCCTCCTTCTGCCTCTCCCCTGCACTCACTATGGTCCTTCCTGCCCCCAGAATCTGGACATCACCAAGAAAAAACTCATCCATGAGGGCCCGCTGACGTGGCGGGTGACAAAGGACAAGGCCGTAGGTGAGCCTCTGGTCCGAGGGAGGAGATTGGTGGGGCCGTGGACAGGGGCCAAGGCTGATGACCCTCCGCTGACCGCAGAAGTCCACGTGCTCCTTCTGGATGACCTGCTGCTGTTGCTTCAGCGTCAGGACGAGCGGCTGCTGCTAAAATCCCACAGCCGCACGCTGACACCCACGCCTGATGGCAAGACCATGCTGCGGCCCGTGCTGCGACTGACCTCCGCCATGACCCGAGAGGTGGCCACCGGTGAGCTGCCGGGGACAGGGGCGAGGGGCCACAGCCTGGACTGGGGCTTTTGTCACATGGGCCAGGAAACTTCCTGATGTTTTTGTACAAGAGCAGTTTGCTCCATTCAGTGTCTCTAAGACACTTGGGCTGCCATGTGGTGACAGTGTGTGTGTGTGTGGGGGGCAGTTCTACAAACATATCCAGCGGATGGTGAGAAGGGAGTGAGCCAGGGTCATGAGGGCGGGGTTGTTGGCAGAGTTGATGGGACACGTTGCAGGATCAGATACAGGGAAGAGGGGACTTGGAGGAGGCATGGGGTGTGTGTGTGGGGGGGCGAGGCACTGGCATGTCAGTGGGATGAATTGAGTCATTGAAGGTGAGTTATGTAATCCCTGAAGATACATGGGGGAGCATCCCATTGGAATCCACATTGAGGTGACCCTGGCTCTGAACCCCACCTTCCCTCCACCCCACAGATCACAAAGCCTTCTATGTTATTTTCACTTGGGACCAGGAGGCCCAGATCTACGAGCTGGTGGCTCAGACTGTGTCTGAGCGGAAGAAGTGAGGCCCTCCAGTCCCAGAAGGGGGTGGGGGAGGCGGCGGGGAGTGGTGAGAGGCCCCAGAGTGGGGGCTCACTCCTGTCTCCCCAGCTGGTGCACCCTCATCACTGAGACCGCCGGATCCCTGAAAGTCCCTGCCCCTGCTTCCCGCCCCAAACCCCGACCCAGCCCCAGCAGGTGAGGGGGCCATGGAGGGAATTGGGGGGTACCCCCTGAACTTATGTCCAGTCCTGTCTCCACTCCACATGTCTGTACTAACTTCACGGCCATCATCTGCCGCCTGTCTCTGGGCCTTTACATCTGTGTCCAGCCCTCCCTGCTTTCCCACTCCCCCTCTTTGCTCCTACCCCATTGCCTCCTGGAACCAGGGCTATGGGCCACCCAGTGTTTCTCTCCCCAGCACTCGAGAACCCCTACTCAGCAGCTCTGAGAGCAGCAATGGCACCCGGGAGCTGCCTCCTGGTGATGGTGAGGCCCAAGGGGTATGGGGTTGGGGGGGACACCCACAGGAAGCCCAGCAGGAGCTAAGCACTCCCCATGCCCCCAGGCCGCATGGAGAGGGTCCTCAGTGACCTCCTGCCTTTCTGCAGACCAGGCCTCGAGGGCCAGCTCGCTGCCACTGCCCTTCAGAAAGGTAGACTCGCCCTGGGTCCTGAGAGTCCCCCCGGTACCCCACAATCCCCCACGCCACACCCCGTGAGGTCCCTCTGCCCCAAGCAGTGCTTCCTTTGCAACTCCCTGTGTGCTCAGTCAACTGTCCACAAGAGGGGCTAACAGCTGGGGTAGACCCAAGTCCCTCAGCCTTCTGCAGCCCTGTCCCCTCCTTGATACTGGTCAGCCTCTCCCTGTGCCCACTGCCATCATCAGACCCTCCCCAGTGCTGCTCCAGCCTCAGCTCCACATACCTGTCCTGCCCCCACCCCGCACACAGGCCTGGCCTAACCCCAGGTCTCCAGCCCCTGCAAGCCCTGCCTGTGTTCCCAGCCCCCTCCTTCTCCTAGCCTGTCCCCCTCCCCGTTCTGTCCCCAGTGCTATCCCTGAAGCAGCTCCTGTTGCCCACGGAGGAGGACAGCCCGACAGGACCTCCCCGAGATGGGGATGAGGTCCTCGGTGGCGGACCCCTGAGCCCAGCACAGAGTCAGGAGGTCCAGGAGAAGCTGCTTGGCCTAGAGGAGACCATGAAGCAGCTCGAGGTATAGTGGGTGGGACCTGGGGGGTCAGTCTGGATGGGTTGTGGGGCGCTGGGTCCGTGGAGGGTCCCACTCATGGATGACCCCTCCCCCCCAACCAGGAGATGGAGGAGGAATTTTGTCGCCTGCGATTCCTCCTGTCCCAGCTTGGGGGAAACACTGTTCCCCAGCCTGGCTGCACCTGAGACTTCTGCCCTCTCAGGTGAGTAGAGGGGTGAGGGGAAGGTGAGGCTGCTAGGGAAGGAGGGTCCTGAGTGGGTGCCTCAGATGCTCCCCTTTCTACAGCCCTACCTGTTTCTGTCTTTCCAACTCTCCTTTCTCCCATCTCTGAGACTGTGTCTCCCCTCTGGCCCCCCATTTCTTTGTGTCTTGTCCTGTGTCTCTCTCTCTGTTTCTATTTCTGTGTGTCTCCCCCTGTCTTCTTTTCTCCTGTTTCTGTCTTGGTGGAGCTAAGTGTGTTCTCCTGTGTCTCTTTCACCATCTCTCCCTCTCTTCCTTTCTGTTTCTCCCTCTCTCTCCTGTCCCCTTTCTCTGCTGTTTCTCTGTCTTCCCCTCTCCCTCTTTCTCTCTCCTGTTTGTGTTTTTTTTTTCTCTCCTTATCTGTCTCACTCTCTCTCTTCAGCATCCTCCCTCTCTCATCCTTGTCTTCCTTTTTGTTGCACTCCCTCCAGGCTTTTTATAAGAAGGATGAAGAGGAATTGGGGAGAGTCATGTGGGGCTGCCTCCCCACCCACCACTCAGCTGCCGCAGCATCTCCACACCCCCCAGGGCCTGAGGAGAGGGGACCGTTTCTGGGGCCACACCTGGGAGGGTGCTGGCTGGGGTCACTGCCTCCCCTGTCTTCTCTCTGGCCCTGGTCTTCTCTCCCTCTTGCCTTCTGCTTGGGGGACTCAGGGCTTCATTCCAGGGGGCACCACAATGACCCCCCCATTTTCCAGGCCATCTCAGTATTGCCTGGGGGGCCATCCCTCCATCCCCCCACCCCTAAGTGCCTTTGCTCTGTTTTTATACTCTGAATTGGAGGTTTATTTTTTAATATATATTATCTAAGGAGAGGTCTGTGTGTGTGAGGGGCGGGTGGGCAGGTGGGGTGTTCCTCAGGCAGTCTGGAACTCTCTGTGACTGTCCTGTCTCAGGCATCGTCTTCTGGGTCGACCCCACAGTATGGCCTCTAGACCCCTTGCCTTACTCCAGTTGCTCATTCATTCATTCAAACACCTCCGACAGACAGTTGAGTGAGAACGTCTCTCCCCCACAACCCCACGGTCACCCAGGGCACTGAAGGGGTGCTCCACAACCCACTCTTCATTTCTCTAATTTTATTTTTGTAGTAAACTCTCTGGAGGTGGTTGTTGGGGGTCATGGGGATTGGTGGGGTGAGGGCCCCTCCTGGGTAGGGGCTGGGGGCGGGGTTATTGCTCTGAGCCCCCTGTCCCCAGGGGGGCCTATGTGGGGAGGACAGACGGTGGGACCAGGGCCGGCATGGGGTCAGAGACACGGCTGCACAAACACGTCACAGCACAGGGACGGGCAGGGAGGCTGGGCGCCGTATTGCACTTTGGGAGTGGGGCCAGGTAGGGACCCCCCTCAAATTGGAGCCTGGGGAGGAGGCTGGAGGTCATCACGCTCCCTTGCCCCCTCTGTGGAGGGAGAGGTGGGACCCCCATTCTGCACTTGGGGAGGAGACCAGGGGCAAATATGTCCCTGGTCTTTGGGGGGTGCTGAGGGTTGGGCCTGGGCCTCGGGGGCAGGACCAGAAGAGCCATCAAGGCAGGCCTGTGCCTGGTGCCCACCTCGACAGAACCCACTACTCCCCGACTGCTCAGCTGCCGGTGCCCCCTTTGCCTGCCTTGGCCTTGGGGGGCGCGGGGGACCCCTCATCACCCTCACTGTCAGAGCTGCAGCCGCTGACATCCGTGATCTCCAGCTCTGAGTCGCTGTCCTTCCCGCCCAGTGTGGCCTCTGGGCCCCCAGTCCCTGGCAGCGCCAGGCGGGGAGCCATAGCCAGGCCTGAGGGGCGCTCCGTACCTGGACCCTCCCCTGTTGTAACCAGCAGAGGTGCAGTGGCAGGGCCTCCCCCTGCCCCTGCGGAGGGCAGGTGTCCCAGGGAACTGGCCAGAGGGTTAGGGTAGAAGTGTGGGGGATAGAGAGAGGGGGGCAGCTTGGGGAAGGGGCCAGTGAGATACGGGTTAAAGTTCCAGGGATACTCGGGGAAGGCGCGGCCATAGGGACCCAGCAGGCCAGGGGGCTTGGAATAACCTGTGGCACCTGGTAAGGGGACAGTGGTGTCAGCTTGGGTCCCTCCTCCATGGGAGGGGGGCAAGCAAATGGTGCCCCTCCCACATTTTACCCCACAAGTCATTCTCTACCTGACATGGCCCCCCAACACCTCCCTCTGCTTCCCACCATCGTCCCCCACTTCATTTGTGAGTGTTCTTGAGTTAGTTCTGACTCACAGCGACCCTGTATAGGGTTTCCATAGGGTTTCCAAGGAGCGCCTGGTGAGTTTGAACTGCCCACCTTGTGGTTCAGTGCTACACCTCTTCCTTGGGCATTCCCAAATGCCCTCAGCTGGTCTCCTGCCATTCCCCACACCAGCATCCTCTGGTTTTTAAGCACATGCACACCCAGGCCGCCTGCATGCTCTCCACCCCATTTTCTCATCCTATCCCCTCAAACACATGCAGCATGCCCCCACCAGCCCTGGCACCTCCAGGCCCTTACCAGAGCCCAGGAATGGGAAAGGACTATCCAGACGCAGTTTGTCTGTCTCAGGAGTAAACAGGGGTGTCCGGGCCCCTGGCTCTCCCAGCCGTGGAGCAGAGAACAGGGTCTGCAGGGTCTGGGGAGGGAGGGGGGCTGCTCAGCCTGGCAGTCCCCCTCCCAAAGAAGCATCAAACACTCCGGCGGGCGGGTGGGGGGGCTGCATCCTAACTCACCTCAGGGGTGATGGGGGGAGCATCTGGTCCAGGAGTGCCCCCAAAGGGACCTGGGGTCAGCAAGAGTGGGGAGCCAGTGGCAGCAGCTGCCACGTCCAGCAGGGGGTAGTTGACAAGTACAACTTTGCTGAAGTTGAACTTGTAGGTGAATCGCTTCCCCTTGGTCTTGTGGAGAATCCGCTTGTTGTAGTAATAGCTGTGGGCAAGGGAGAGGGGCTTGCTGGGGGTGAAGGGAGAGCCTGGGGTGGCCTGCACTGGCAGGCACAGCACACAATTTGGGGAAACCCAGGATCCAAGTGTCGTGGTTATAAATTGGTTGCTAACAAGGTCAAGGAGCCCTAGTAGCGTAGTGGTTATGAATCGGGCTGCGAACCAAAAGGTCAGCAGTTCGAAACTACCAGCTGTTCTGCAGGACAAAGATGAGGCTTTCTGCTCCCGTAAAGATGTACAGCCTCAGAAACCCTGTACAGGGTTGCTGTGAGTCAGAACCGACTCCATGACACATAACAACAGTTGACCTTAAGGTCAGCAGTTTGAAACTACCAGTCATTCTGTGGGAGAAAGATAAGGCTTTCTGCTTCTGTAAAGATTTACAGCCTTGGAAACCCTGTACAGGGTCGCTATGAGTCGGAACCCACTCCATGGCACATAACCAAGCACACAGAGCAAGTAAAGGATGAGCAGGAGCTGGGATCCCGTCAGGGCAACTTTTTTCTGGCCTGCCTCCACTTGCATTATAATAACTATAGGTTCAGAGCTCTGGGAAAGCCTCCCATGGGCCAGGAAAAACGGGCAAAGAGATGGGGAGAGGAGACAGGGGTGGGGGCAAGGAGGGAGAGCAGCCTCTAGGCATCCTCACCGCAGGGCCCGGCTCAGCTTGTCATAATTCATATGGGGCTTGCATTTTCGGATGCCCCAGAGCCGAGCCACCTCGTCGGGGTCCTTGATGACAAATTCGCCGTAGTCCCCCTGCCAGGCGATGACACCCTGATATTCCTCCTTCTGCAGCAGCTCCAGGATAAAGTGCCACAACTGGATCTGCCGGGAGCCAGGGGAAGACTCCGGCTTGTAGGCCCAGTCCGGGAAGGCAAATCCTGGGGACAGAGGCAGGGGAATGGCCCCAGGTCAGGACGCAAAGTACAGACTCTGGGTCCTGCTTAGGCTTGGGGTCTGGAGGCAGACAGTCCTGACTCCCAGTCTTGGATTCCCTGAATTGGTACTAATGCCTGACCCCCTTAACTCAGCGTCCCTGTGAGTGGAGTTTGAGAGAGACCAGTTTCCTGCATCCTTGTCTTTGGGGAAGGGTGGCAGGCAACTTAACATGGCAGGATATCCTTCCCCAGTGTCTGGCCTCCCTTGTCTTCTGAAATGTTCCTGTTTCACTGTCTTCCCTCCTTCGCCCCTTGTCCCCTGCTCCATCTCCTCATACCCTGAGGACGCTGCTGACCACCCTGGCTGCACATTTGTGTCTGCTTATTTGTATATTGTTACCTTTCACATTCCATGTTCCTCCTGGCATCCATCCTAAATGTGTGCCCGCGGCAGACGTGTCTCGTCACCCACACAAGACTACACCTGGCTACACCGTGCGACAGATAACACCAGAGCACCACACACAATGCACCACCCAGGTAGACACAGGGCCGTGTCCTTCCCATCACAACAGGCACTCAGAGTCGGGGACCACTAAACCTAACTACATGGCACAGATGTACAGAACCCCAAAGGCCCAAATAACACAGTGATGGAGACCATGAACGGCACGGCACCGAGACTCGTTGCATCCAACCTCAGACACCCAGATGCAGCCTCTGACACTGACATGACAACCTGCCACACTCACACAGACACCGTCAACATTCGACAACCCCCAGCACCACATGTTCCCCATCCAAACAGGTATCAGACATCCCATCACCCAAATACTCCAGCACCTGGGTGGAACCAGAAAGGTGGCAGATCTGCCCTAACAGCTCACCTCAGTGCCAATTCCTGTATCACATCCTCCATCCTTGGCCCCTTCTCTGAGATCCCAGACCCAGGGCAGGAGAACAGAGTTAGTCTGTAAGAAGGTGAACCACCGTGCAGGAAGGGAAGGGAGGTTGTGTGTGGGGGGGTGTCTGTTGGTACATGGGTTGGGGCAGGGGTGAGGTCAGGCACCAACACAGAGGCCCTGGGGGGCACCCAGTCATACAGCACAGAGACATCCTTCAGAATGTTGCACACACAGCAGCGTGACAGGCCGCAGAGGGATGGGGAAGCCTCATCCCACTGGTGAGCTGGGCAGACCCCCACCCAATCCTAACCTGTACACATGCTCAGTGCCGCCAGAGTAAAGAGACCCTCACACAAAGACAACCAGATGCTGCTCCCACACATTTGCCCTTCTTCCTGAAACACTGAAGTGTGACCAGCCACCATCTCAGAATCTCACACGTACGTACAGCCCATCTGTAGGGTGCAGGATGCGGGCTCAGACACCCAAGCTAGCCTTACTGTACACATCCCCTGTTCTAAGTGTCCACTTCCAAGCTGTCTGCTCTCCTCAGCTCTGGCTGACCAGGTCACATCTCCATTCCATGTCCCTTTAACTGGGTAGTCCTGTTTTTTTGCCGCCGGGGCCAGTGCCCCTGGAAATCCCTGTCCCTGCAGTACTATCTCCAGCCCCCCTGTATCTTCTTGCCCCCACGCAGGTCCTGGGGGATGGACATGGCAGAGACCCAAGACTTCAGTCCCTCTCTGGCCTTCTGCTCTTTCACCCTCCCCCAAAGCCTCATCTCCCTGCAGGCAGGTGGTGGGGAATTCTGGCTGGGAAGTTTTTAGCCAAGTTTTTTATGAAGGGATTTTATTCAAAGGACTCTGAGACCCGAGAGAGGCCCGAGAGAAATGGGGTGCGGGCGGCTCAGTGAGGGCTAGGAGAGGGGATGGGGGTTCCGGGCCAGTTACCGGGGGTCCAGAGAGCCGGCAGGGCGGGCGGGGCGAAGAGAAGGTCGGAGACGCAGCTACAATCCATGGTGGAGCCGGGCCTGCAGAGGGACCAGGGATGGACACATGGGACGGGGCAGGCAGGACAGACAGACAGGGGTCAGCTGAGACCTGTCAGGGCCATCCTGTTCTGCCTTCCCACCCCGGCTGCCACCCACCACCCTCTGCTCCCATCCCGGGCCACCCAGTCCTTCCCACAGGGTCCCCTCTGTCCCGGCCCCCCACCCCAAGCCTCTCCTCCCCTGCAGCCTCTTCCTCCTCACTCTCCTGCCTCGATCACTGCCTACGGCCGCTCCCAGCTCCCTCCTTATTGCTCGCCACTCCCTCCCTCCCTCACACTCACTGGCTCTCGCCACCCTCACACTCGCCCGTCCCTGTCCCTGCCATAGTCTCCCATCAGTGTGTCCATCCTGTCCTGCCGGCTCTCGCCTGACCTCTCCGCATCCGCCAGTGTCTCTGGGTCTCCCTCTGTCTTTATCTCTCTGACCATCCCAGATTGATCTCATTCTGAAATGCGCCCCTACCCTGCCCTGCCCAGCACACCCCCAGCCCTGAGCAGCCTTTCCTCTCATCCGGTCTCTGAGCACACAGGCAGCTGACTACTTGGACAGGCTGGGAGGGGACAGGCCCTCCGCCCCACCCCACCCCGCCCTGCCGAGCAGCCCCCAGCACCCTGCATGTGTGATTCCAGACATGTAGCACCCTCTCCTTAAACCTGGGCAGCCCTCAGCCGCCTTCTCTCAGACCCTGCTGCTTAGATAGGCCTCCCCCCATCAGCCACCCCTCCAGCCTTAGACAGTCCTGTCAGACACCCCTTCCTCTTTGGATATGCCTCCCTCCTCTGACAGCCCCTCCCTCTCAGACTCCTCCTGCTTAGACCTCCACTCCTCACATACCCCATCCCGTGGACCCTCTCCTCTCAGACCATCATCCCTCCCTCTCAGATGCCCCACCACCCAGACACCTACAGCCTTAGATGTCTACTCCCCTCAGACACCCCTCTTTAGACCCCGAACTCAGACACATCCTCCTGCTCAGAGACCACTCCCCCTTAGATACTTCACCCCTAGAGACCCCACCCCTTCAGACCCCACCTCTCAGATGCAGCGTATTCTGATTCCACATCACCCTTCAGACAGACACCACCTTATAAGATGTTCCCTAAACACACGGTTCCTCTAAGACACTCTGCGTCCCAAAGACCCCCCTCCAAAAGTCCTCAGACCCCAGAAGCCCCACAGAACCCCATCATCAACCTCACTTCACCCTTTGGACACTAGATTGAGACTTTTCAGACACCCCATTAACCCCTCAGATTTATCCAGTCTCCCCACAGACACTCAGTATCCCAGTCTCCAGGGGGTGTCCCAGCCTCCACCCCAGCTCCTCCCCCTAGCCCACTACCCTGGCCCTGCTATGTATTGAGGGTCTCTCTCACATACTTCCCTCCAGCACTCAGCCTCCCTCCACAAACTGTCCCCACAGCCCTGTCTCTCCACTATCAGCTCATCTCCCTCCTTGTCTCTGAATGTCTCTCCCTTTTTATCTCTATAGCTCCATCCTTCGCTCGTCTCAATCTCTTTTTCCTTCTTCTGTCTCCTTCTACCCACTCTCTTCCATCTCAGCGTCTCTCCTGGTCTCTCAACTCAACCCCACCCATGTTGTCTTTCTTCTCAGCTTTCTCCACCCCTGACCTCCACCCAAGTCTTTATTACCTATCCATCACCTCCGTCTCTTTTCCTAGTTCTAGGTCCCCAACTCCTCATCCTCAGTCCATCTCCCCCCACATCTCCCCTCCCATCTCTAAGTCTCCCTCCCCACCATCTCTGTCTCTCCCCCATCTGTCTGTCCTCTACTCTGTCCCCCAGAGATGGGTCTTTCTCCACCACTCAGTCCTTCTATTTCATTTTTCTCCATCCCTCCTCGGCCGGCTGGTGTCGGTCTCTGCCCCTCTCTCCTCCTCCTCACCTCTCTCCCCTCTCTGCTTCTCTTCCACCTCCCCATCCCTCATCCTCCCCATCCCCCTCCCTCCTTCCTCCCCCACTCCACCCCCACCCCCCATTGGCCCCTCTCATTTCCGTGTTGGTTTTGATTTCTCTTCCCGACGCTTTCAACTCCCCGCTGCCTCCTCCGGACACGTTATAACGAGGAGCCGTGGGATCGACGCTCCGGGCCCTGCTCCCACGCTCCCCCCGCCGTCTCTCACACGCATCTGTGCCGTCTCGGCTTCTCTGTCTCTGTCCCCGGACTCTGCCCTCATCCTGGGCTCACACCGGGACCTGGACCCTGATCCTCCCGGCTGGCTCTGGCTCGGTCCATTCCCCCTCCCCACTCCTGCCAAGACTGAGCCCACTGCCCGGTGTCTGCATCTCTGTCCCGGTGTCTTCACATCTCTGTCTGTACGTCTCTGGTTTCTGGGTCTCCGTATCTCTGCCTCTCTGAGTCTGTGCCCTGTCTCCACACCTTCTTATCCCCACACCTGTCTTCATGTCTCTCTGTCTCCACATCTCTGTTTTGTCCCAGTGTCTGTCTCTTGGGGCCCCTTTGATCTCATCCTGCCCCTGGCTCCCCCCTGGCCCCATTGATCCCTGATCAATAGAGGAAGGGGGGGCTTGGGGGGACCTGGACTACATGGCCGGACAGGGGCCTGATAGGATGGCTGGACAGATGGACACAACCCCAGCCTCAGCAGCTGAGGAGTGAGCGCTGTGCAACCCTGCCCCGCCCTGCCGGCCTGTGCGGTGCGGATGGGGACTCCGGGCAAGCTTTAATTTTTAATTTTATTTTGCTTCCTCCCCCTCTCACCCCCATCTCCACTGCCCGCAGCCATGGCACCGAACTGAGTTTGTGTGTGTGTGTGTGTATGCGCGCGCGTGTGCAGCAGTGTGGAAAGGGACTGGGCAGGTGGGGAGCTGCCTCCCTCCTCTCTTTGCCAAAGAGTTACCCCACACAAGCCGCACACCAGCCCAGACATGCACAGCAGCCCATTGGACACACACAACACACATGCAACACACTGGACACACATGCAACATACACAACCCATATCAAACACACGTCAGCAAAGCACACTGGCCCAGGCACACACACACACACCACACAACAAAGCACACATACCAGTCCAAACACATCCAACTCCACTGTGTTGACACACGTGTCCATATCAGACACACGCGTGTCAGCAAGTACACACAACACACATCTCACAGATGCACACACAAACCAGCACATTCACCCAGAAACAGACAGCAAATTAAATTGTACACAGACACACACCAATTCAATCTTGCACAGAAATAGAGACACACAATCACAAATCAGAGACAGGTACATACCAACATCAACACATAGTCACACACTGAAACTCCCCTTCAAATACAAAAATACAGATCTACATGCAATCACACTTCACACACTGACACAGGGATCAGACATACACCCCACACAGCGAGTCACACACAAGTGACACCAAAGTATGCAGAGTTGCATAGGCTAGCCCCTTATATGTCCATGGACACAGTTGTGCGTGGAGACAGATGCATAACCACACCCTAACACACAGCCACACACCCATGTATGAAAAAGTCCCAAGCGCGTGTAGTCCACAGGATTGACCACAGAACACATGTGATCTCTCAGCCCCACAGCCAACTGGGGGCAGGCCAGGATACTGCGGGGGGGGGGCAGTTAGAGGGACCCCCCCCTAGATTCCCCACAGCTCCCACCACCATCTGTCCATCTGTCTGTCTGTCCATCTGTCTTTGCACCTCTTAAGGGCATGCCCGTGCCCCTGTATGTGTGTGTGTCTCCTACCTACTTCAACAGCTATTTCAGTCTCTCTCAGCTTTCCTCTGGCTACCAGTCTCTGTTTCTCTCTCTGTCTGCCTCTATCTCTGGGCATCTCTGTCTCTCTCTGTCCTCTATGTCTGAGCATCTCTGTTTCTCTCCCATGCCTCTGTCCCTTTCAGTCTCTGGGCATTTCCGTCTTTCCATGTCTCTGTTCTTCTCATCTCTGGGTATCTCTGTCTCACTCCGTCTCCATCTTCTCACCCCCCATCAGGTGGCTGGGGTTTAACCAGTTGTTTTGATTTCTCTAAGCTGCGCAGGCTGCCTCAGGAGCTGCCTCGGGCCACACAACACCCCCCCCAACAGCCCCTTCATCCCTCACCCAGCCCCCCACCCCCACCTCCCCTAACACAATCTGCACAAGTGGAATGAAAATTGATTTTTTTTTTAAATTTCATATCTTCTCCGGGGCTCTGTCTAAAGAGGAGAGAGACGCCGTCCAAGACCCTTCTCCCAGACCGCCCCCACATGCACACACACACACACACACACACACACACACACACACACTGACATGCACCCACCTCACACTCTGGACACACACACACCCTGACCCTCTGTTTGCAGCCGCCATACCCACACATTCATGTACCATCGGGGGTACACCACAGAGGACACGTCCGCACACACAGCAGACTCGCAGAGTACCACAGCGCACACTCTCCATGGATTCCCAACAGTACACACGGCACCCCAAAGCCATGGATTGTGGGCACGCTTCTATCACCCACCCACTGACACCGAACCACTATCACCCACCCCATCCCCTGTCCCATCCATGTCACACACTGGCTGCCCAAATGCCTCCCCACATACCTGTTCACATAGATAACGGCCACATTCGTGTATGCACAAACCAGGCTGGTCGTCCCAAGGAAGCGGGGGTTAGCAAGGTGATAGGGGTGTTTCCTGATGGGATGTACCCCTTCTACCCCAGAGACCACCCTTACCCCCACCCCTGCCCACATCACCCAAACACTCAGCCCTGACCTCTGGTGCCTGGGGTGTGCACAGACACCTCGATGTTCTCTCAAAATCCACACACTGTCACTCCCACCATGGGCACACAAAACACAGGGACCTAAACACACAGGGACCTTCCCATCACACCTGCAGAGACACACACTCCCAGAGAACACAGTGACAGACACACAAAGCGCTCAAAAAAGCCCTTCACAAAAACACGGCCATACACACACAGGCGGGTGGCCTTTACACACGGTGCACACATGTGCACCACCCAACAGTCCCACATAAGTACACACAGCCATCAACACTCCTTAGGGTTGGACACACACAGCACAGTTCACCAACACCCCGATCCAACCACAATGACCACACACACACACACACACACAGACAGGGTCCAATGTCCCTGTAGCAGTCTCTGTACCAGAACATGCTGTGTGTGTGTGTGTGTGAGACCATATGTGTTCGCTGTCTGGGTCACAAACAAGCAAATGTGAGCAAATGTGAGCACATGCTTCACTCCAACACACACCCAACACACACCATCCACATTGGAACCTAGGCTCAGTCAC